TTATTACTAAAACAAGAAAGCAAACGAGTAGCATTAATAGTCATTCGTTTTAGTTAACATATGCTATGATAATTTGAACCGATTTTTATTCTTATTGTAAAATAATGGAACATTTAGGTCATGAATATTGTCTCAAAAGTCATGGAAATGTATTGGTAAAAATGTGTACGAACCCTGAGCCGTTAACGATCTGTCCGTCACGGACTGTGACCTCACCACTTCCTGTGGATTTTTTTTTCTGCGACTAAGTGACTAATAAAATTTTGGTCGACCAAGCTTCTTTTTGTCGACTAACGGTTCGTCGACTGTTAGGGGGCAGCCCTAATTTTAGCTGAATTCTACTAGACTACATCACGCCGTGAAAGTGACCTCACCACTTCCTGTGGATTTTTTTTTCTGTGACTAATAAAATTTTGGTCGACCAAGCTTCTTTTTGTCGACTAACGGTTCGTCGACTGTTAGGGGGCAGCCCTAATTTTAGCTGAATTCTACTAGACTACATCACGCCGTGAAAGTGTAAACTCGTGTTTTTATTAGTTTTTTGCAAAGTGAGTGGCACATCATTGCAACAACAATATTATCCTAGACGATACATTCCCCTTCTTGACGCATAAAAACTCATTTGCTCATCTTGGTTTTCCCAGGTGCACAACCTGTACAGCTGTATCAAGGTCGCAGAGGACTTTGTTTCTCCCGAGCATGTGAAGCACTGTTTTAGACTGACGCAGGAGTTCCGCCACCTTTCCACCACTCACACTAACCACGAGGACAAGCTACAGGTATTTCTACATGTCGTTCTGCTCAAACCTGATATGACTCTCTTCTGTGGAGCACAAAAGCAGTATTTCCAAATTTTCTGGTAAGCTAAATGCTTGCCAAACACGTTTGATTCTGATTTAATGTTATTTCTGTTGTTTAAAGGTGAAGAACATCATCTACCATGCCGTAAAGGACGCTGTGGGAACATTAAAGGCCCATGAGCCTAAGCTAGGCCGCTCTTAGTTGTTGAACTGATGGTGGAGAAGTCACTGAGAGATTGGGTCTCGGGGTGGGTGAGGTTTGGATGAGGCCAGTGTGCTTGCAAAACAAGCTGTTTATAATGGAACGTCTCAGCGTTTTGGTAGGATGAAGATGCCGCTTCATCAGTGTTACAAGAGCATTGTTTAGTTTTACAATCCTTTTCTCTGTATTTAAAAAGTCTGTTCTTTTTCTCAGCGTTTAAAATGTGTTGGACTGTTCAGAGAGCTAGTGATATAAGCTGACATGAATCTTTTAAGACCTACAACAAGGTTTCTTTATGACTTCTGTGAAAAACATGAGCACTGGGTTTCCTTCTTAGAGCGCATTCATTTTGTGCTCTTCAATGAAGAAGAGCTTTTAGTTAAGATGGGGGTCAACAGTAATTAAATTGATTGAAAGATTCCCGCCAACTTTTTCAGGAGAGGTGGATAAGAGCATGGAAGGGAACTAGACCAAAGTTTTTTTTATTTTTAGTTTTAAGTTCCTGTTTTTTTTTTTTGTCTTTTTGATGAAAACATGTTCTTTGCTTTTTTTGTAATATGCCATTTAGGTAATATTTCATTGACGGCAAGTGTTAGACTGGCTTTGAGGAACGTCATTCAAGAATCAACAATTCCAGTTCTGCAGAACTACTGGTCGTTAATATGTACCAATATATATATTGATCTTAGCAGTGCGAATGATTGTTTTTTTTTTCTTCCCAAAATAAAGGTTTTCAAGAAATGATTTGGCCCTGTTGTTTGGAAATTACACGATGAATTTCTTAGCTATCTATTTGTTTAATGCTTACAATTTTATTTTATAAGACATTTTGTGGTTCATGGATGACATTGCAATAAACTAAAGCTTTTGAAATAGTGTCTGTTTACTTAGATTTTTCATTATTCAAAAGGGGAACTTTGGCTATAATCAGTGTTTATCAAATAACTTTTTGACTAGTGAAAAACACACACACACACAAGGGTGTGCCTTACAACCCATAGGGGATATATTGAATTTAATTATTGAATGGCAAAAAAAGAAAGTTTAACACCGCATGAGACCCCATATTTACTAATCACACTGTTATGCAATTTATTTTTTCTGCCCTAAAAGTGTCTGGGCGTCAGAGACCGTAAGTCATAGGGATCTCAAACTTAGTGGGATGCTTCCAAATCAGCCCCAGCCCCCACACATGCATCAGACACGGTGACAATCCTAGACTTCTGGGGGCCCTACGCAAAACTTAATAGTTTAAATGCTTCACAAGAAATGATAGTTTTTACTATTTTCTTTGCCTTTCTTTACTCTCTTGAACCCCTTTAAATCCTGTGATTGTTTGTTTCCTTGGAGGGGACCCATAATTCTTTCTTGCATACCCCCCTTCAAAGTGCTCATGGTGCCCCTGTGGGCTTCAAATTGTAAAAGAAGTGTCACGTAGTTTAGCTCTTTACATTACAGGTGCATCTCAGTAAAGTAGAATGTCGTGGGAAAAGTTAATTTATTTCAGTAATTCAACTCAAATTGTGAAACTCGTGTATTAAATAAATTCAGTGCACACAGACTGAAGTATTTTAACTAATTTGTTGAGATAGTGAATTGGTGGGTTTTAGTTAAATGTGAGCCAAAATCATACCAATTAAAAGAACCAAAGACTTAAACTACTTCAGTCTGTGTGCACTGAATTTATTTAATACACGAGTTTCACAATTTGAGTTGAATTACTAAAATAAATGAACTTTTCCACGACATTCTAATTTATTGAGATGCACCTGTACATACCTTAAATGGTGTGTTTGTTATTCAAATTAACATTCAAAGTGATACATATAAACTGGTAAAACAAGAGGCTTAGAGCTGAAGGAATGGTTAATAGTTCCAGATTATCACATTTTCCTATTAAAACATTTTTGTGTATTTTCACAATCACAAAGTCTTTTTAATGTGGCTCACAGGTGTAATATCTTTATGGAGGAATCAGTGACAGGAAACTCTTGAGCCTGTGAGAGGATCCTCTGATGCAGCTGTGACGGGATCCTCTGATGCAGCTGTGACGGGATCCTCTGATGCAGCTGTGAGAGGATCCTCTGATGCAGCAGTGACAGGATCCTCTGATGCAGCTGTGAGAGGATCCTCTGATGCAGCAGTGACGGGATCCTCTGATGCAGCTGTGAGAGGATCCTCTGATGCAGCAGTGACGGGATCCTCTGATGCAGCAGTGAGAGGATCCTCTGATGCAGCAGTGACAGGATCCTCAGATGCAGCAGTGACAGGATCCTCAGATGCAGCAGTGAGAGGATCCTCAGATGCAGCAGTGAGAGGATCCTCAGATGCAGCAGTGAGAGGATCCTCTTGGACCAGAGCAGCTTTAGCAGGAACCTCTGGGACCAGGGAGGTTGAGAGAGGAGCTCTGGGACTGAAGCAGTCTTGGACAGCAGCTCTGGCTGAGGCTATACGACTGCAAACACTGGGGTGGCATTGACTGGAACTTCCTTGGTGTTCTTTCCCATCATAAGAGGAACCTTTGTGGTGGACATGAGGGGTGTCAGTGTGGCCCAGAAGAACCATAGCGGGTTCTGGGGTTGCAGCGGGCCACACATATTATAGTAAAATATAAAAGGCTTTAAGATAAATACTTATGGACTTATGAAAATTTTGAGCTGCAAATGAAAACTTTTGAAATATAGCCTACATACCACACGACTATCTTTTCAAAACATACATTTGGTGCACACTTTACAGTAGTAACAATAAGTATGTACAACAGTACTGTTGTGGCGGAAGCTATGGATACCATGTCAAATATTTGTCAGGGCAGCAATGAAACATATAAATTAATGTTTGTTTTTTAATAACCGGAGCAGGTAAAGATGTCACTGTCCCTTTAAGAGACGCGGGCTGACTGAGTGCATATGCAGCGGCTCTCAGTAATCATTGCTACACTGAGACACAGACACACAAGATCCGCCGGGATTCCTCCTGATATTCAGCATCACTCGTGCGGTCGGAATGGAGATGCTGAATAATCGACTGAAATAAGGAAAAGTCCTCGCAGAGATCAAGATGGTGTCGTGGATCATTTCGCGGATGGTGGTGTGAGTGTCTATGCGGCGCGCGCGCGTGTGTTTGTGTTGATGCGGATACATGACGCTTTTCAATGGAATTAGAACATATTCTGATTATTTTTTTCATTGAAAACTTTTAATATTAACATTTATTCGGCTACTCCTATAAATGGCATATAGGGTTAAATTAATAAAACAAAGCGATGACTATATCCAGACGAGGGTTGCTTGTTGTGTGCATGATTTTCACCTAGACCAAAATGCCCTGTGGATGATATTATGCCTTAATGTACCAAACACTCCAATAGAGAATGGACTTTTTTGGCTTAAAGACATATTGGTTTTTAACATGCCAGCTGTTGTGTATATTATACCAATCACATAATCTCCTCTATATGCTTATGTCATCATACTTTCAAATGTCCATTTTTAAATCACAGTTATCAGAGACTTCTGAGATGGGTTGATGAGGGTTTTTTCTGAAATAAGGCCTACCTGGTTAGTAAAGGAGGCCAGTCTGGTCCTGATTCATCGATTATATCAAACACTCAGGCCTTGCTCCACAATGCATGTGCAGGTTATATTATTACAAAAACTGCTTGGGCACAAATGGGAGAGGTTGAATTCATTGTTATGACTGTGTTGGTCTGATCTAGGCCGTTAGAAACAAACATCAGGTATCATTATCCTGGTTTTGCTGAATCTCATGGAATGCTCTTTGCTGTGGCTTTAACTGTGGCGAGCAGATGCATTATGGGCATGGCCAGACTTACCATTGGGCATTTGTAGTGTAGGTATAGGGCCCAAACATAACCTCAAGCCCAGGGGCCCCCGGCCCCCTAAGTCCTGCCCTGATTATGGGAGTCAGGCTAGCGAATGGGACAGAGAGGGCATGTGGTCTGCCATGCGCCAGACTGCCTCACTGTCCTCATGCTTCATTACGCATTACCCACAGTGCACAGTCTACATGAACATGTGCATTTATAGAGTAGAATGCATCATATGAACTATAAGTACAACCATGTTTTAAAGGCAAGATGCCCTATAAGGGAGTAAAAAATTTAACTCTTAGGTATTACTATATTCCCGAGTTAATTAATTAAGAATTGCAAACATTTTCTTGTTTGACAAGTTTTCTGAAATGGCAAGTTTGTATGTGCAAATGAGGCATCTATCTAACTAAATATGCACTGATTTGCATACATTTCTAGAACAGAAATCTGAAAGCCGGGTTCAAAAATGATTGTTTCATTTTGTTGACGCATTAGTCAAAGATTTTTACAGAGGGCATTTTGGATCTAATTTCAGTACTCCATAAATCAACCAGAAAAATTTATGTTGTATAAAATCAGGCAAATGGTAGGCTATATAAACAACCCCTCTTTAAACTTGTGATTTCAAATTATGCTGCGCTTTATGCATTTGCCCACTGCCATATTCATGTAATTTCCACCGTGTGCTGTATGTAAAATGAGTGTTACCTTGGCTGTATTTGAAAAAAAAAAAAAAAAAAGATTCCCAAAGCACACAAACTTCCCAGAATACTGAGTGCCCTGTTGGTTACAGTGTTTTCTTCCTTTTTAATTATATTTTTATTAAACATTTATTTATTTGTGATATACTTTGTCATCTAAAGTATAAGTATGTTTATTTAACACAATTATTTTTTAATCCATTTTCAAATGATTTCAAATTTCTTAAATATCAATTAAAATAAATACAATTATATCGGCCATCGGCCGCCCTGCATTCCAAGATATCGGCATCGGCTGTCAAAAAACCAATATGGGTCGACCACTAATCCTGACATCCTCTGCTGGATCTGCCATTGCAGAACATTCAGCTTTTGTCACATCAGCACAAAATGGCATGTTTGTGTGTGTGGGAGCGCAAGTGAACGTGTCTGAGTGCATGCTGCGCATGCAGGGCATCTGCGTCTAATCTGGTCCCTTTGTGTGTTCATCCGTCTCCATGGTCTCCGATTCCCTTTCATATATGCTTCACATTTAATGGCTCTCAGATTCGGGGTGTTTGCTTTCAGTAACGTCATCAAGCATGATTGTGTGTGCACAGTAGGGCTAGTGTGTTGACTGGGATAAGTTTTATGGGTTTGCGTTTCACTGAAGTACAGGTCTGACTATTTTGATCAGCCACCAGTATATTGGATATGTGATTCATAAACTGATTTATTTCTGTTCTGGTTGGATTTGAATGAACCGGAGATATCTATCCTACCTTTAACACTTAAATAGGCAGCCCCTTAAGTGTAGTAATTGTGTTCTTTACCTTGAGGTAATGGTGCAAGTGAAATTGTAGATGCTGAAGTGAGCTGGTGTAATGGTAAGATGAGCTTGTCAGTGTCTGCCGGGCTGTGTGTTTAACAGGAGTTTTTTCTCTCTGCAGCCTGGCCTTCGGGACCCTCTATCCAGCCTATTCATCTTATAAGGCAGTGAAGACGAAAAACGTCAAGGAGTATGTGAGTATTTCAGAATGGCTTCACTTTAACACAATCTGTATTGTATGAAGCGCTATAATAATATATATATTGGGGCTGTCAAATCACCTTTATTTATAGCGCTTTATACAATAGAGATTGTGTCAAAGCAGCTTTACAGTATTAAACAGGAAAATAGTGTGTCGATAATGCAAGAGGACAATAGTAAACACTAAATTTTTCAGTTAAAGTGGGTTTATCATTGATTCAGTGATGTCATCGTCCAGTTCAGTTTAGTTCAAACAGTGTCTGTGCAATCAAGTCCGCAATATTGACAGAAATTAAGCGTCCACATTTAAACGAGCCAAAGGTGACAATGGCTAAGGAACCAAAACTCCATCGGTGACAGAAATGGAGGAAAAAAACTGCCAGACGAAACCAGCATGGCGTGGTTTAATTACAGGCTGCAGCACAAGTCAGATTGAGCAGAGGACTCGTCTAGTTCTCAAGTGATAATCTAATTAACCAAATTAATGGTGCATCAAATTTGGCTGTGAAATTACCCCAAAAGATAATTTAAAGCCATTGTGTTAAATGAGAAATACATCGAAAAGTAACTTTAGAAAAAAAATATTTTATTTGATTCAACATGTTTGATAACCCCCCGAGTATTTCAGAATGGCTTCACTTTAACACAATCTGTATTGTATGAAGCGCTATAATAATATATATATTGGGGCTGTCAAATCACCTTTATTTATAGCGCTTTATACAATAGAGATTGTGTCAAAGCAGCTTTACAGTATTAAACAGGAAAATAGTGTGTCGATAATGCAAGAGGACAATAGTAAACACTAAATTTTTCAGTTAAAGTGGGTTTATCATTGATTCAGTGATGTCATCGTCCAGTTCAGTTTAGTTCAAACAGTGTCTGTGCAATCAAGTCCGCAATATTGACAGAAATTAAGCGTCCACAACTAAACAAGCCAAAGGTGACAATGGCTAAGGAACCAAAACTCCATCGGTGACAGAAATGGAGGAAAAAAACTGCCAGACGAAACCAGCATGGCGTGGTTTAATTACAGGCTGCAGCACAAGTCAGATTGAGCAGAGGACTCGTCTAGTTCTCAAGTGATAATCTAATTAACCAAATTAATGGTGCATCAAATTTGGCTGTGAAATTACCCCAAAAGATAATTTAAAGCCATTGTGTTAAATGAGAAATACATCGAAAAGTAACTTTAGAAAAAAAATATTTTATTTGATTCAACATGTTTGATAACCCCCCCCCCCATAAATAATACCATGAGATTAATGGGTTTTAAATGGGTTTTAAAGGGATAGTTCACCCAAACTTGAAAATTCTGTTATCATTTACTCACCCTTGTGTCCTTTCTTTTTTCTGTGGAACATAAAAAAATCTTTTTTTTCATACAATGGAGGTCGATGGTAAACAAAACAGTTTGGTTATCAACATTCTTCAAAATATCTTTTTATGTTCTGAAAAAAAAACAAAGCCATACAGGTTTGAAACAACATGAAGGTAGTAAATGATGACAGAATTTTCATTTCTAGGTGAACTATCCCTTTAATGGGTTTTTTATTAATATGGAAATATGAAATTATTATTATTATTATGAAATTATTATTATTATTATTACAATAACGTTTAATGACTTAAATGGCTTTCTTTATTAATGGTTCATTGAATCATTCGTTCACCCGATTTGTTCAAAACGAGGATTCATTCAGAAATGAATCACTGCTGTGTGTTGCTCGGAGAGACGCACAACAGTTCTCTTTTGAAAAAACAACATTTTTGTGCCTCAGTTTATACCCTATTCATGGAAAGTGCCAAAATTATATATGTTTTAAAAGAGATAATATGCTTCCCAAATAGCCCAGGAAAGGCCTCGCTTTATTCCCTAAGATTTTAGGAATATATTTTTTTAATGTGCACATATGTCTTTTAATTTTTTGAAACCATATTTATCTTGGAGTCTCGGGTTACTGGTTGCTATGGAAACCACCAGGGCAGCAGTTTTCTGGCTTAGACACCATTTTTAGCATCTTTCTCATCTGTATTACAAATAGCACCACCTTCCATTCTTTTAGAAATGTTTAGTAAAAACACTTTAGACATTTTATAACCTTTTTGAAGATGAATTCATAAATGCACATGCAGTTTTAGATGACCATAGTTATGTGTCATTTAATAATTACTCAGTTGGATATTATTGGCAGTAAAGATGGAGATATAACTGGCAATGCAGTGCAGTGGTGACTGTTTATTCATGAGGCAGTCATGCATTACACACAAAGCTATATTCAGCAAGAACGTGCATGTGACCTGATGCGTGCTGATGTCATGTACACATGTGTTTGATTATAACATCTGTGTGTGTTTCCATCCTCAGGTGAAATGGATGATGTACTGGATAGTGTTTGCATTATTTACGACAGCAGAGACGATCACAGATATGCTTCTCTCTTGGTCAGTCAGTTCATACTGTTAAACTATTTCAGAAATATTTATCACATTATATATACATTTGATTTTTCACAAATTGAGTATCATTCTGAAGGTAATTTACGACTTTTTAAAAATAAGCTAAACAAATTTTTAAAAGTGATGATTTAATATAGCTTTTATTGTATTAATTGTTAAATGTTGACTTCCCATTTTCCAGGTTTCCATTTTATTTTGAGCTGAAGATTGCCTTTGTGATCTGGCTGTTGTCCCCGTACACCAAGGGCTCCAGTGTGCTGTACCGCAAGTTTGTGCACCCCACGCTTTCCAATAAAGAAAGGGTACAAATACAACTTGCATCATTAAATATAATCAAACTATTGTTAAAGATGAGTCTTTACATTTTTTTTATGTATGTGTGTGTTACAGGAAATTGATGAGTACATAACCCAGGCTAAAGACCGCAGTTATGAGACCATGATGCGGTTTGGGAAGAGAGGACTCAACATTGCAGCCACTGCAGCAGTCACAGCAGCCTCAAAGGTCAAATCACTGTGTTTTAGATGAAGTGTGCATTTGGGGGTCAGGGCTCAATGGAGTCGGGTGGTCCTGGGGCCAGAGTGAGAGTGTTTTGTTTTTCTTTTCTTAAAAGTGTAATTTTTTTTATATGATTTAATTAACTGTAAAACAGAGTAAATACAGTAATATTATGAAATATTATTAAGAACTGTTTTCTGTTTGATTATATTGTAAAATGTAATTTATTCCTGTGATGCAAAGCTACATTTTCAGCATCAGTAGTCCAGTTTCAGTGTCACATGATCCTTTTTCTTATTTTTATTATCAGTGTTGAAAACAGTTGTGCAGCTTAATATTTTTGAGGAAACCGAGATACATTTTTTCAGGATTGTTTGATGAATAGCAAGTTCAAAAGAACAGCATTTATTTAAAATGTGAATTTTGAGTAAAAACTTTACTTTTGAGTAAAGTTCTGACCTACTGGTCCAGCATTAAAAAAAATCCTTGTTACTGAGAATCCTAGGTGCTATTGTAAAGAGCAGTGTGCTTTTTTTTTATTTTTATTGCTTGCATACGTTAAGAAAGAAACTTATCTTATCATATTTTGCATAGTGTAGGGCAGGATCACTGTTCAATACACATTTGTCTTTTATTCAAACTGGGTTCAGCAAAGAACTTTATTGTCATATGTACAAGTACGGTACAATTGTTTAGTGCCTTGAATAAGATAATGCAGTTGTAATATTTGAGTCTTCTGTGTTATTGAACTGCAGGGTCAGGGTGTGTTATCAGAGAAGCTGCGCAGTTTCAGCATGCAGGATCTGACTCTGATTCAGAACGAAGACGAGCTGCAGCTGGACAGCACAGACAACACGCACACTGCAGCCACGCTACCTCGGGCTAAAACAGTCACGCGCACAGGTAACACACACACACGGCTATAGTCCTAAAATAATCTAACTTTGTAGGCCGCGTTCACATAATGAGTGTTTGGTTTTAACAACCCTATTTACTAACAGGTGTGACTCCCTAAATCTAATCCTGTACATACAATTGCAGACAAGTACGGATTGAAAAATGTTGGTATGTAACCAAAGTAAATCTGCTTCTTTAATGCCTGTAACCATAGTGAGACATAACTCCAGTAAATATCGCTTTGAGTACAGCTCATATTTATAATAGTCTGTCCTGTTTAAACACACACAAGCAGTTCAGTGAGGTGTTTTTGTGTTTGCTGACTCATTGAAAGCCGCTCTGCAGGCGCCCATTGTCTCAGCCTGTTTCTAATGCTGATGCTGATGTGACCAGCATGTGATTCAGCTGCCTACTTGCTGAGAGAGAGGAGGGGTCGATCTGCTGGGGTTTGTTCATACGCAACTGCACACTGCTTTCTGTTTGTTGGATGAGTTTCCGCGCTCATTCAAGCGGTTCAGGACTGTGCGGAGTTTGGCCTCTTCAAATACTGTGAGGTCACGAGACTCGCAAGTCGCTGAAGGTCATGACCCCCAGTAAGCCTTTACAGCAAACACAAAGAAAGTCTGTGGGAGGATCATTCAGAGTTCCACAGAGGTGATGATTTCAATAATGAGATATGTAGTGATTTTATTAGCCCACAGAGCTCCTTCGCTGAATTACAGAGCGTCAAAGATACATTGTGAATGGACAAGCAAAAGGCTCTTCTAAAGAAGTCTTTGTGTTTCAGGCTTTGAATGAGGTTTGGCAAGCTTTAAATGCCAGATAGAGTCTGTTCAGAGAGCCAGTGATCACACCACAAGACAAATTTTGTGCTTGTATTTGATTTGGTTGATTAGTTCATTCACGTGGCCAACGTGCAATACTATAAATGGTCACTTTACTCGGATTGGTCAATGTGAATATCAGGACTCAGTCACTTGTTGTATTTACTTGTAAAATTGTACTGTACAGTCTTATAGTATTTATTGTCTGTGGTTATATGTTTGTTTTTCTTACACCAGTCAGGAGTAGTGCTCCTAATTTCGTTGTATACAGAAAAATACAATGACAATAAAGGCGTATTCTATTAATGTGGTTCATAGACACACACAATCTAATTAGGCAAGAAACATGTATTCAGACTTTCAAGTATACAGTATTAAAATGTGTTATAAAACAGGCAAGGGTGAATGTATATAGACACAAATATCTTGATTTGTCCTTCTGTTTTCACTCAGAACAAGCTGTATTATTTAAAACATGATTTTGTTGTGACATTTGTCGGTTGTGTCTGGAAGATTCAGTGTTTAGGAAAGCAGAAATGTTTATAACAACTACTAGAACATCATCGATTATTTGCATTATTTGTATGTTTGTTTGTATGCATGTGTTTTTTTCCCCCCTTCCATTGAACACAAAAGACATGTTTAGCAGAATGTTCATGCTGCTCTTTGTCTATTAAATTCTATGATAAACACCATTAAAGTGGCCTATGCATCTGCTGAAATGAGACTGAGTAAAATATAGCGTAGATGTTTTATTTGCCATACCCACAATTCGGACCTTATTTTGTCACTCATAGTTTATAATGTGTCTACCAATCTTAATGCAAGCAAATCAAGAACTCTGAAGATTTATTTGCAATACAGTGCATTCAGAAAGCATTCAGACCCCTTCATTTTTTTTTTGTTGCAGCCATGTGCCAAAATGCTTTCAATTATTATTATTATTATTTTTTTTTTTACATCAGTCTACAGTCGACATCCCATAATGACAAATCAAAAATCAGATTTGTGATAGTGGTGTTCAATTCCAGGTTTTTCAAGGTCGACTCCGACTCCCGGCTGTCACTGTAGGAATCTATCCATTTACTTTATATCACAACAGGATCAAGAATAATACAAGATTGCAGTTGTTTTTTTACACAATTAATGTCTTTTTTTCTCCCTGACACGATTCCTTAAATTCCCCTTATTAAAACAACACATTTTCAGCGGGACTGTTCAAATTAGTCCAATTTAGTGATTTTTCCTTGAAATCATCAATGTCTAGCTGTTGCTAATACCTATTTTTATAGAGGGAATAGTCATGAGAAACAGCAGTGGTCAAATATTAGGTCAGAATTAAAGAAAGAAAGAAAGTATTCTTTAATGAATTCATAACGGTCGAGTGATGGCTCTGAACACATATGCCCATTGTTTTAAAAAGCTGCTTAGTAGCGTTAAAGATATTAAAAATAAATAAATTTTTAAAATGGTCAGTTTAATTATTATGAATACAAATGTGACCCTGGAGCACAAAAGCAGTCTTAAGTCGCTGGGGTATATTTGTAGCAATGGCCAAAAAAACATTGTATGGGTCAAAATGATCGATTTTTCTTTTATGCCAAAAATCATTAGGATATTATAATAAGATATTTTGTAAGTTTCCTACTGTAAATATATTAAAACTAATTTTTTTATTAGTAATATGCATTGCTAAGAACTTAATTTGAACAACTTTAAAGGTGATTTTCTCAGTATTTCGTTTTTTTTGCACCCTCAGATTCCAGATTTTCAACTAGTTGTCCTGTCCTAACAAACCATACATCAATGGAAAGCTTATTTATTCAGCTTTCAAATGATGTATAAATCTCAATTTCGAAAAATTGACCCTTATGACTGGTTTTGTGGTCTAGGGTCACAAATAGGTTAACCATGGAAAACCAAATGTATGTTTATTGCATTAATATAACAGTTAAGCTACAAAGCTGGCACGGACGTATGTATAATTACAAACTAAAGGCACTATGGCTGTTGTTTTAGTAAGTTGCATGTAGGATACAATATGTGACCAAGTTGTTTCTGCGACGGCTCCATCTCTCTGACGCATGGTGTAAATACATCAGTGTCCGAATTCCTCGCTTCATTTCATTCACTCCTTGCTCAACTGCCATGCACTACATAGGGATTAGAGAATCAGCGAGCCGTTTCGGACACAACATCAGAGTCGACAGTGAGAGTCGATTCCTGTGCTGGAGTCGACTACGAAACTAGGGCTATTCAGAGTTGAGGAATCAACTCTTTTGGAGACGACTCCCCATTACTAATTTGTGGTAAGCTTAGCTCAGGTGCATTCCATTTCTCTAGATCTTTGAGATCAAATTAAATTAATTGGAAATGATTTGGAAAGGCACAAACCTGCCTAGAAGACAGCTCAAAGACAGGACTGTGTTGAGGCACAGATCTGAGGACGGCTACAAAAAATTCTGCTGCAAAAATTCTTCTGGCAATTTTCCATGTGAGATCCAGTCACGTTTAATGTGATTTGGAATTTTGCATGAGGATGAAAGAATTCCACACGCCTATTTTTGCATCGAGTTCAAATTGGTCATTCGCTAGAATCGCTACATCAACCAAAAGAGAGCTACTTGGTTTGAAAGTGACTTCTGTGCGAGCAGTGCTTCATACAGTACATCGCTACACTATGGACTGGGAAATTTTGCAGCAATTTTGCTAATCTTAATACTGCAACATAACAAAATGAAGGGCTCTGAATATTTTCTGAATGCTCTTAAGTCTGTTACATCAGCCCGCTTGTATGTAAACCAGAACGAGATATTCCTGTTTATTTTCTGTATACACATTTTTCCAAGCCTTTGAGTGTGCGCTGTCGTGAGCACATGCCTTCACTGAATTGCATTCACCCAGTTGCTCGATAAGGTCTTGTTATAACCGTAAAAGGTATTAATACTCTTTTCTTTCGTTCTTCTTTACCACCATATCCTGCTGTCCTCGCCAGCAGACCACCAAGACGGTGAAGAAACCGCCAAAGAAGAAAGCCACCACCACGGCCAACAACAATGCTGAATCACCATGAGTCACGCTGCGTTTATCCATCCCTGGACAAACACACACATTCACATGCTTTCACATACTAACATTAGTGCTCTTTGCTTTTATAGAAATATACTGACCCTTGCGAATACACACATGCACATAAGATGCATCGCCTAGGGCTGTTTTTATCTAGTAGGTTTAATGCGGTGAGTAAGTTAAGACGTCTGGCTTCATGCATTCATTTTTTTGTGTTGTGCATGTGTTTAAAGGAAGGCTGGGTCTTGTCTTATTCTCTGTAGGCCTTAATATTAGAGGGCATCTCTGTAAAGCATAAGATCAGAAAGCATTGCCTGAACATGATCATACATCATCACTACTGAACCCACAGTATATCCCTTATAACCACAGATTCCATGCTTGTTTTCCATAATAGAGGCCATTTCACTTTATTTAGCATGTAGGACACACACTATGGGACGAACAAGAAATGGGAACAGAAAAATTGGGCTATTAAATGAATAGACTTGATTTACAGCACAGTGTCCATAGAGAGTTCTGGAGGCGCCCAGAGCAGTTCTGTTCTCGTTCCGGGTCACAGAACATCCCGAGCCCGAGATTTGTTGTGAATATTCATGATCCGAGAGGTCAGATGTCTACTGGAAGCTGCAGGCACTCAAACGCTCTTGCCGTTAATAGTGCTTTTGTCAGCTGGAGCTGGAGGCGTTCAGAGCACATGAGCTGTCCCTTGTGCTAATTTTACATTCGTGTAGCGCGATGTTACACATTTTGAACATTTATAAGACATTTATCCGAGTGGTAGATGAGATAGCAGGTGTTTTGGTAGGGCGCAAGATGAAAACAGAATCACATGTTGGCCAGTAAAGGACAAGATGCCTCTGTCTTGAGTAATCGGTTTCTGAAGACTGATGATTTTAAGTCTGCTGTTTCAGTTCTGGGCTTTCTGTTGTTGTGACTTGCTTATCAAACTCAAATATTCCATATCAGTTTGTAAAAAAAGTACTAAACACTCTGCAACGCAAAGCATAGAGAGTTGGCAGATCATTCATTGTGGTGAAACGGTCAACCCATCGGAAAATCATCTTAAAAGGTGCTTTTAGAATATATGCTGGTTTAAAACCTTCTGGTCCTTATATAAAGTCATCTATACAACTTTTTTTAATTAGATCCTGTGAACCAAGGTCATTTGAAACTGCGTGTAGCCCTAAATCCAGATGTGCGCAGGTGTGTTTCCCAGCACAGCTGCTCTGAATCGAAAGATTTGGCGTTTGGTACTGATCTTGATTCTTGACTTCAACTGCAGTTTGAAGTATGCAATACTACTGCGAGCTGGTAGGGAGTGCTGCTGTACAGGAAAAGAGCACAGTGCTCTTCCTGTCAGATTGAACCATTACACAAGGGTGGAGAGAGGTTTTGAATTATAATGTATTTAAATCAGTTTGTCAAATAGCTGAAATTTACCTGAAAGTTAATTTGTATAATATTATTGACTGTACAAAATATCTGCCTTACTCTGATAGGCTTTTTAAGTTGAACATTTTTCTTTTTTGAAGTTTACATTTAGTTTGTCAATTTAGTATAGGGTCAGATGTACAGAAAAGTGCTGTTTTGCGCATATTTGTGTGGCGTTTTAATTTACAAGGTTGTCTTCTCTGCCTTTTTTTGTATAGGAATGAGAGATTGCTGTTTGCTCTTAGGAAGAAAAGGGGACAGTTGTGTGTGGGAAGGACTGATGATCATTTTACAGTTCATTTTAACATATGTCAGTCTTAAATTGAGCAGTTATTAGCAGATAGATGTTTCGGTAGAAACACGGTTTAGATGCAGATCTGTCGTCATTACACATTGCTGTCTTAACTATCATCATGATTTTTTTTTACATTTTCTGTGTCTGAGTCTCCGGAGTAATTCGGTTTTTAAAAAGAATCTTTATTTGAGATTTTTTCCCCCCTTTTAATTAAATGCTAGTGTGGTTGATGTTCACCAGCCCACACAGAAACGACAAGTCAGTCTCACTTCTCATTCTTTCTTTGTTCCACACTGCTTTTCGCTTCTTTCCCCCCCTGTTCAGTATTTCTTATTTTCATAAATGAAAATGACAATGTCTTTTTATTTATTTATTCACCAAGGCCCACACTGAAAGAGACATGACAAACTGAACATATTTTCTTTTATGTTTTCTGTAGTGTGTTGGAAATTGGTATTATTGCATATACAGATTTGAACTGGGAGAATAGTTGACATTAATATATTGTTTGTGCCAATTCTCAATGCTCTTAATATATTAAAAGAATGAAAAAGAAAGCGATTGCTGCTAAGTGTGTACTAACTGACCTTGAATTATTATTCAATAAAATGCAATTACATCCCTAATGGATTACCTAGTTTTAAATTTTTCTAATTTAACTTTCTTCCTCTTTTTTTTTTTTTCTTCTTCTTCAAGAGGATACTAGGTGAAATGTTCAAGGCAATTATTCCCGAGATCTCTATTTGTTTATTTGTTACTCCAGCAAGTCAAGTGGGTTTTATGGACATCATAAAGATGTTTCATTTCCCTTCTTAAGTCTGCTTATAAAGTTATAGAATACCCATATCCCCTCTTTATGAGTAATAACTGCCACTTTTAGCTGCATTAACAACAACCATAATTCAATATCTGCCTTTAGTTTTTCACCGGAGGATAAAGAACTCCTCTTTCGGTTTTGTTTTAGTTCAGGAGTTGCAGCTTAGTTCAGCAGCTTGATATTTTAGATATAACATTTACATTTATATATAAGATACAACATATTTAGATATATGTTTAGCATGTACAGGATGATGATGATGCATAAGTGTGTTATTAATGGAAATAAATAGAAACATTTGCTAATTTAGTTGTATAATGTATGATTATTCAATTTATGAGGCCATACCTCATATTGGGGTTAGATGGCCCCTACCTTACCTGGGGTAATAAGATTTTTAAGAATGTATAAATTACTTTTGATATCATTCTTATTCAAATTTGCAGGCATATGAATACATTGATTTAAACCACTGACAGACTAAGTGAATAACACTGATCATATCATTACAATGGCACATGTGGCATATATTAGGTAGCAAGTGAACAGTCAGTTCTTGAATTTGTATGTGAGTATCTGTGGGATGTGCTGGTCTAACTGATCCGTGGAGGCCTCACCTGTCGAAAAAAACCAGCATATGCTGGTTAGGTATGTTTTGACGCTGGGATGCTGGTTTAAGATGGTCCTTTACTGGTTTATGCTGGTCCTTTGCTGGTCCTTTTCCAGCACATGAACAGCATAAACCAGCAAAGGACCAGCATAAACCAGTAAAGGACCATCTTAAACCAGCATCCCAGCGTCAAAACATACCTAACCAGCATATGCTGGTTAGGTATGTTTTGACGCTGGGATGCTGGTTTAAGATGGTCCTTTACTGGTTTATGCTGGTCCTTTGCTGGTCCTTTTCCAGCACATGAACAGCATAAACCAGCAAAGGACCAGCATAAACCAGTAAAGGACCATCTTAAACCAGCATCCCAGCGTCAAAACATACCTAACCAGCATATGCTGGTTAGGTATGTTTTGACGCTGGGATGCTGGTTTAAGATGGTCCTTTACTGGTTTATGCTGGTCCTTTGCTGGTCCTTTTCCAGCACATGAACAGCATAAACCAGCAAAGGACCAGCATAAACCAGTAAAGGACCATCTTAAACCAGCATCCCAGCGTCAAAACATACCTAACCAGCATATGCTGGTTAGGTATGTTTTGACGCTGGGATGCTGGTTTAAGATGGTCCTTTACTGGTTTATGCTGGTCCTTTGCTGGTCCTTTTCCAGCACATGAACAGCATAAACCAGCAAAGGACCAGCATAAACCAGCAAAGGACCAGCATAAACCAGCAAAGGACCAGCATAAACCAGTAAAGGACCATCTTAAACCAGCATCCCAGCGTCAAAACATACCTAACCAGCATATGCTGGTTTTTTCAACAGCTCGCATCTTGCAGGACTTAAAGGAGCTGTTGTGAATGTCTTGGTGCCAGAAACCACAGGACACGTTCAGTGGTTTGTGCTTTGATGCATCAGTGCAGTTTTGGCAGCATGAGGACGACCTAATGATATAAGCAGGTGGATTTAATGTTGTGGCTGATCAGTGTATTTAATTGCCCATATTTTAACTTAAGATATGTCATAATAGCAACACTGTGAATTCAAATGGAATGATAGATGGAATTTTACTCTATATTACCCCAGTCCCTTACATGTAAACTCTATTAAATCCCACAGAACTCCAATTCTTTTAGCTTTGAGGTCATCTCTATGTTAGTGTACTCTTAAAAGTTGTATTTTGGCAGTCTAGCAGACACACACTTTACAGTTTTCGAGTATACGAGAAGATAATCGTCTGACCTTGGTCTCGTGCAACGCTGTTAATGTGCACATTTTAAGTTGCTTAATTTAAACACTGGACGTGTCCCCTGTCGATGTGTTACAGTACTAGTACTGTAGAAAAAACTCAGTTTTTGTCAGCATCCATGACTGGAACAGTAGTTTTTATATAACTTAAGCAATGTCACTTTTGTAAACTGAGGGAGTTAATAGATAGATAATGACATAAAGCAAGAGCTTTAGTGAGCAGTAATGAATGTTCTTGATGGTGTGTATCTCAAATCACTGTAATGAGAAAGCTAATTATCTTTACCAATTAAAACCAGTTTCACTGTGCAAATAAACGATGAAGCAGAATGAAAGTGAAATGATGAGTAACGCTTTCAGTCAGGCACATTTCAAATCGTGTTTTCTCCAGTCTCGCACATTAGCTTCGCACGACACGTTGCTTTTCTGTGTGCAAGATAGCAGCTTCTTTCGAATGTTGAGGGCTATAATCTTCTAGTAATAACCTTAAATGCCATTGTGTTTGTACTCCACCTTCAGCAAAGGTGCTTGTGTTTCACTGCATTCGTCATGTGTTTGCGTGACCGAATGTGTGCATCTCATGCAAGGCACACGACACGTTGCTTTTCTGTGTGCAAGATAGCAGCTTCTTTCGAATGTTGAGGGCTATAATCTTCTAGTAATAACCTTAAATGCCATTGTGTTTGTACTCCACCTTAAGCAAA